GCCTGACCGAGCGGCAGATCAAGATCTGGTTCCAGAACCGGAGGATGAAGTGGAAGAAGGAGAACAAGCTGATCAACTCCTCCTCTTCCTCCACGGTAAACGGTACAGATGAGGAGGAGAAACGGACGGACTGATGTTTCATGGAAAGGAGGAAGAGAAGCTGAAGAAAGGACAGGCTGCAGACAGGTGGACTCTGGGAGCGGAGCTCCTTTTTCCAACTTTTTTTTTTTCTTTCTGATTGAACAGAATTAAAACTCGTAGGTTAGGAAAATAGACCGACTTGCTTCCGTGACCCCTCAGAGCTCTTTGAAACGTCTCATTGAAAACACTGACGGTTCTTTAAGAAGTTTTTGTGCAATTTGTACGTTTTGAACCGGATAAATAAACGCTGAAATCTCTGCATATGATTAGGGAAAAAAAACAGAACGTTGTTAAAAAATTTATTAGTTTTAATTTTATTTAAAAGTTGTTTTTCTTTCGCAAATGAAACCAAATCGTGAAAAAAAATAACATTTCTGAGGACAGGATATGAAAGGTTTCCTTCAGTTTACAAAGCTGAGTTTTTGCAGGTGAAACGTTCACAGGTTCGAGTCACACAGAGAAATCCTATTAAAAGGTTTTATGATGAAAAACAGACAATAAGGATGAAAGTAATTTATGAAAACACAAACTAAAATAAGCCCTAAAATGTAAAAAAAAAACAGGAAACGTACAACACAAATTAAACATTAAAGGCAGCTTATTTTATGGTTTTCTAGAAATATAAAACTTGCGAGTTGTTTTTATTATTATTTGGATCTCCCGTAGATTTATATTTATGTCTGATAATTGTTACAGACACAAGAAAATGGTTTGATGTCATCAATAATAAAAAGGCAGAAAACCAGTTAAAGGTGGTGGTGGTGGGGGGGTCAGCCTTTTTCCACAGCATTCCAACAAGTTCTAATTGTAAAACCTTTTTATTCCCATTATTTTAATTGTAATATCGTTGTAGAAGCGYTATTTTTGAGGATGTAGAACATTATTTCTGTTTTGTTTATTATTATTTGTGTTTATGAGTGTATAATTCGTGCAGATTGGTTTTACACTCAACAGAAGGAGGAGAAAAAAATAGTTGTTTGTATCATATGATGTTTCCRAAACATACAGAGGCGTAAAAGAGGAGAAAATAAACTACCTTGTGCAGAAAATAGAAAAAAATCTTTGATCCAAATAATACTGTAATTACGTTTTAAAGGATCATAAAGGGGATGCGTGGCGGTGTTCATCTACTGATTGTATTCTTCAAACTACCTAAAATTGTTCAGGACTTGTACATTTTATATGATTTTAAATTTATTAGTGTTTTTGTCAGGTAGTGTCTATAAGAAATGTCCAATAAAATGTAAAGAAGTGTACAGTCAACGTTTTTTATTTTCATTTTGAGTTGGAATAAATGTGTCCAAAGATGATTTTTTTTTTCAGTTAATCGAATGCARATATTGGTTTCCATGTTTTTGGACATCCCAAAAGCCCTTTAGCATTTTTTCCACCTACGGTGCATATTTAAAGCGCGCTCTAGAGGCGCGCGCACGGCGGTCCGCAGGGGAAGCAGCTCGAGCTGACCTAATTGATGAGCAGACCAGAGGGGAGAAAGTTGACCTGTTCTCGAGCCAGACACACACATACACACACTCACTTCATCCAGACAAAGTGGACAATGTCCTCGTGACCCTTTGAACTCTGCGTGGCCCGGGAGTGACCGGCTCGCGGCCTCTTCACGTTTTACTGACGCACACATTTTTTTGTCCTTATCTCCTGCACAGATTCAGCAGGGCTTCTTTTTGATTGCTAGGAGAGAAGATTTTATTCTGACATCCATTAGCTTCACTGGCGTGCACATTTAATTTAATCCAGGATTGTTTTAGTCATCCAAACGATGAACCATTTATACAAAATGTTTAAAACATGCAAATACAACGTTACTAATTGTTCTGCTTGTTGTTGTTCTCTCTCTCTGTGTGTCCAGGTGTCTGTTAGCAAAATATCTCATGAACCACTGCCTGATTTTTATTTTTTATTATTTTTTTAACTTTCTGCACTTAATCAGCTGATCACCATTCAAGATGGCCGTCACAGCAAACAGAACTTTAAATTTCATGCAATAACTCAGCGAGTTTAATGAATATTGTCGTAAAAGTTGGTGTGGTCCAGCTGGAACCAAYTCACAAAACCTTTAGCACTACCAGACCACGCAAGAATAAAAACTACATAAATAAATTTTAAAAAAAATGAAATTACCTGTTCAAAGCATATGTGTGTTGAAAAAAAAAAACACCTCAGGCACCACCAGACCGTTTTAACCATTTTTTAAAAAACTAATCTGTAAATATGTCTCTAATAAAGCTTTGGAGTTAAACCAAATTAAATTGTCCACAATCAACTGAACAAGAATACAATAATTCAAACAGTTTTACAGATAATACTAAAATGAGGTGTGTTAGCTGAGAATCATTTACACACAAAACACACACTGAGCKTGACAAGGTGTTTATTTCAAGGTTTACTCGAAATCACAACTGTCCTTTAATTTAACAAAAGGTTAAAATTGCCTTTTTTTCCATCAGTGCCTCTGTGGAGACATGTTACAGAGTTACTGCTCCGGACTTTAAACTKACTGAACTTTTCTGCTCTTTTAGTTCAATCAGACTAAAATTACATATTACTGTTGAACATGGAAGGCACGGATGTAAGTGCAAAACAGTTAACTGTTTCATCTTTTTTCTGTCAAAATTAGCACAAGTTGAAAATAAGAAAATACTGCATCAAAGACATGTAAAGTGTGACCTTTATTTAACACCATGTATCTGTAATTTAATTTATTTTACCATGACACCTAAATTCATACACACACAGACACGCAGAGTCTTTATACCTGCAGTGTTGTGAAGGGCTTGTTTGATGCTATAAATAAATCAAGTGAGAACTTAAATGTTAGGTCAAACTTTTCCACTTCTGACCCCCTAAACAAAATCAAAATCATGTCTTTTAAATCCCTTGGTTGAACAAACACGTTAAATTAGTTAATAATTAATGTCATAATGGCAAAAAAAGATTCCTTTTATGAATGTTTTCTGATTTATGATCATTGCTGTTTTCTTTTTGCAGCTTTTATTGACAACATGCTTTTATTTTTGTATTGTTTTTATTTCTATAAAGCCCAACTAAAGYCATCCAACCTGGTGTTTTGTGATCTACAGTATTGCTCTTACTCAAGCTTTGGAAACCATGACAAAGAGCAGCTGAAAAAAAAATAGCGTCCCCAACATGACAGAATCTTTAAAAAAAAAAAGATAGGTGTTCGCTGCAGACAAATATCTGTCCTAAGTTTTGGCTCTGATGAACAACGTCTGCACAGTCTCACGTTGTGATATTTGTGGCTTTAAAAGGAGCAACCAGGTTCTGACATTTACAGAGCATGCTCTCACGTTGGTTCAGAAACTATTTGGGACGACTACACAAACATTTTAAAACAGAACGAGATGACGAAGTAAATGGACGAAACCCAAACTGTTACAAAATCCAGCATAGATTTCCTTTAAGTTTGGATCTGGGGAACATAAAGTTTGTGCTCCTGGGATATACATACATTTTTAAATAAATCAAATTTATAATGACTGCAACAAATTTTTGTGTAAAATAACTAAAATAGTTMAATGATTATTGACTGATCTATAAGTTTTTTTTTACTGTCCTAAAAGCAAAAATGTTCAAGCAAAAAGAAGGGCTCGCTCATCTGTGTCTTTGTTAGCTGAAATTTTTACTGACTTAAATGGTCTACAACAATTTATCTCAGTGTTGTGATGGAAACAGTTCATCATCACTGAATAACATGGAAACAAATGCAMCAACTAAAATCATTGCAGCTTTAATTCCAACTCTAACAAAAAGCCTTTGAACAGAAGTTGGTGACAGAAAAGAAAATGTTCATTTTAAGGCAATAATCAGTGAAAGAAAAACAAACTCAGAAAGTGCAACACTTTGACTGAAAGGACAAAAAGACAGGCTGACTACAGTGATTATAAAACTATAAGAGATAGTTCAGAGGTTTCTGCTGGACCAGCTCCTCCTGCAGAACAAATCCTGATGTATTCTGGAAGCATGTCTGCTGGTTTTATAGCAAACAGTTTATGTCTCAAAAACATTMATGTTTTWTTAGTCATTTTACAGCTTATAGGTCTGATCCCTGTGGATTTTTTATGTAAACGCTGAGTCATCATTAATTACACTGTATTTTTTTTTCTTCAATCAAACTTTGAACAATTTCCTATGTTAATATGATCCACTCAGTTAGAAACATTTATCTGGAACTTTTATGGATTTGTAATTTTTATACATTTTGAACTATTTAACTATAATTACATCCTTTCAGATATCTTTGAAACATTCATCTCTTAAACCTGCTTCAGCATTTTTACTTTTATTCATAGCACTTTTTAGCTATTATGTTTTTCCTTTAAATTGCTCATTTCAGGGATTAGATAAACTTATGGTAATTTTAGCTTTCTCGTTTGATTTCGCTACTTTCAGCTGCTGTTTTGTGGATTTTCACTTCTGTTCTGCTTGTGTTAACTTCAACAATTGATCCTTTCTGTTTGTTTCTCATTTTAAGATATTTACAGAGTAACACTGATTTTTCCAACGTGTTTCTCTAACCTTTAGTGTGAAAGAATGGAAATGTCTGAAATGCGGCCTGTAACTACAAGCC